ATTTAAAGTTCAAAAATTTGCCAGCCTTGAGGATATTTAAAAGATGGCTACAGAATTCTAAGGCAATTCCAAAACAGTTTCAAGCCACGGCAACATCTTTTTTGTTGTTGTTGTTGTTGTTGTTAGTTGTTTAAAGTAATCATTTTATTAAAGACTAGCATACTCTCAGAGAAGGGCACAAATCTTAAATAATGTTCAGCCTCAAGAATGTTTACAAAGTGAAAACACCCAGATCAAGAATTAGAATATTATCAGCATCTCAGAAGCCTCCCCCTTCAGGTCCCCTTAGCCACTAGTTCCTGTACAAGGTAACCATTAATCTGACTTTTTATCACCATAGATAATTACCCCTATATTTAATTGCTATGTTTAATTAGATTTCTCTCAGTAATGTTTTGTAGTTTTGTGTATAAAGGTCTTGTCCATCATTTTTCCCCTAGAGACTTGACGTTTTGGAAGCATCATTTTTAAGTTTGTTGCCTTCTCAGGTGACAACATTGGAGGGGGCTGCCCTTGATTCCTTGATTGGATATATAAATTCTGGTATGTTTAAAAATGAATCATCTTGGGTGGCCGGTTAGGTCAGTTGGTTAGAACTTGGTATTATAACACCAAGTTCAAGGGTTTGGATCCCTCTACTAGCCAGCCACCAAAAAAAAAAAAAGTTGTCTTATTTTAGTTTCATCTTGTAGCAACATCATTAGAAATTAGAGCATTGCTTTCTTTTAAGGTAGGTATTGGTGCTTTCACTAGTATAAGCAATTAGCAGAAAAGAGTTACTCTTAGAGCTTTGGGATTTAAGTAGTTTGATCCTAGTCTAGAAATCTTTTCACCCTTCATTGATGATTGCATGGTTATATCTTTCAGTATCTATATCCAAGAATAGCCCACGTAAGTAGAATAATAAGATAGCAAAGCTTCTGTGGCATTTATTTGCCATAATACACTGAGCTTCTGGACAATACTTTCAGTAATTAATTATCTAAGTTAGGGCTTCTGCTGGACTTTCTGGGCCCCTCATAATTTGGCTCTTCCTGTCTTGTCCATTCATGAATATGAATATCACTTTGCAGTATGACAAAGTACTTAGGCTCCATTTAAGCTTGTTTCCTGATATCCTCAGTATGTTCTGTGTTTATTTCCTCATCTAGGCTTTTTCTCATGCAGTTTTTCTTCTAACCAAATCCTGCTGTCATCAAGTCCTTCTTTTTTATTTCCTATTTCTTCTTACCTTACTCTTGTAATTACATATAAAGTCTCTGCACCAAAGAGTTCAACATTTAAGTATTCTGATTACTTTTGGTGTGTCAGTTTGTTACTTGGTTAAATTGTCAGCTCTGTAAGAGCAAAGACTCCTTTTTTTCTCCCCCTCTATCTTCCTTCTAGCATTGCTGCTCTGAGCTGAGTAAATACTTGTTGATTAATGACAGTTACAATTAAGACTTGGGATTGGTTCAGCATAATTTTTTGATTAGCTCTCTTTTGTCAGACTATCAAGGCGTGTGTGTGTGGGAGAGAAGATGGAGGGAGGAGAAATGGTGAAGGTCTTTAAAATATACATGCCTTCCAGGTAATTATGATATGCCCTATGATCATGGGCATTCCATAGAACCACTGTTCCACTGGAAGGTGGCCAACGTTGTTATTTTTTGCCCTCCTATATGCCAGGCGCTATCGTAGGCTTGGGGGAATACCAAAACATAGACTCTGCTTTCCACAAAATTAGTAAAAACTGTGCCATTCATTGCACATGTATTTAAGATGGTATAGGTGGCCCCAAGGGAGGGTCTCATTTCTCAGTACTTATTTCTGTTTTCTCTTTCATATGCTGTCATCACTTTGACACCTTGTCACCCAGAATCTATGTGAGAATGGTGGCTTGGAGTGCCACTGGGGTGGTCCCTTAGGGAATGTCACTGCCTGCACCGTTTTAGATGTATAAAGTGTCTAACGCTGTGTAAGAGTGATGATTTGACTCTCCTCAAATTACTTACGTCTATAACTATATTTCCCCTTTGTTAATAATCATAGTTCATTCAGCAGACAACACAAGAATGGAATTAATCATTCCAGGAGAGCAGCATTTCTACATGAAGGCAGTGAATGCAGCTGAAAGACAGAGGTGGCTGGTTGCTCTGGGGAGCTCCAAAGCATGTTTGACTGATACAAGGACTAAAAAAGAAAAAGGTAGCTATAAATTTTTCCCTTGTGATGAGAGTACTTTCTTAAACAAATGTAAATTGTCCTGTCCACTTTTAGTAATCTGTCCTAAGGAAATGTTGAAGAAAATTTACACATATAGATCTTGATCATAGTAAAAAAATTTGTAAACAATTCAGAAGTATAAATTTAGGGGGATGGGTAAGTAAGCTACTTCTTTCATCAGCTGATCTATTATGTAGCCAGTAAACTGTTTACAAGGAATTTTAATGATGTGAGAAAATGCCAAAGGTTAACCAATCATTGAAAAAAGCAGGATTCCAGATTACATACAGTTTAAACTGTATAGGTTAGTGTGTAGTTAGGCTGGCTTAGGAATGGTATGTAACAATTAGTCAAGTTGTTACCTTTGGAAGGGCAGTTTGTGGGAAGGAGACTCACTTTTCACTGTATACCCTTTGTACCTTTTAAATTTACTTTGTACATATACTGCCAAATCAGAAAGATTAGAACAAAATCAAAAGCAAATTTATGGTATTAGTTCAATTATACACAGATATAATGTAAAAATAATGACAGTATTTATATCTTGCTAGTGAGGTTGCAGTTTGATTTTTCTATTTTTTTCTTTTTGCCAAAAATATTCATTGAGTATGTATTTCTTTTATGATTAAAAAATAATATAAGTTAATTGAATTAGTGAAAGCAACTGAATTAAAGGAATTGAAAAACGGAGGCTGAGGAATAAATTTTCAAATATGTAAAAGAACATTATGAATAGAATATGACTAAGGGTAGCATAAGAAGAAATGGATGTTCACAGAAGCCTAAAGGCTGAAACATCCCAAATATCCATAGACACGTGAGTGAGTGGATAAACAAAATGTGGTATATACATACAATGGAATATTATTCAGCCTTAAAGAAGAAGGAAGTTCTGACACAGACTACAACGTGGATGAACCTTAAAGACATTATGCTAAATGAAGTAAGCCAGTCACGGAAGGACAAATACTGTATGATTCCACTTATATGAAATAGCCAGGATAATCATATTTATACAGACAAAAATTAGAATGGTGATTGCCGGGGATAGGGGGAGGAAGGAATGGAGTTAGTGTTTAATGGGTTCCAAGTTTCAGTTGGGGAAGATGAAAAAATTCTGGAGATGGATGTTGGTGATGGTTGTATACAACAATGTAAATGTACTTAATACCACTGAACTGTATACTTAAAAATGGTTAAAGTGATAAATTTTATCTTGTGTATATTTTACCGTAATTTTTATTAAAAAGGAGGAATGGACTTAAGTTCGGGCAGAAATTGATTTGGGTTAGATCAAATGGGCAGATAGAGCAGCTTTGGTCTACTTTAGCAAAAGTGGCATTGTGGTTAGTACCAGAAAGCAGTGCCACTGGCCTGACTCAGGGAATACAAAGGAATACTATGAATATTTTTTCCCCATCTGCAGCTTATACGTCTAGTTTAAAAGGTATTGGGGGCCGGCCCGGTGGTGCACGGGAGAGTGCGCCGCTTGGGAGCGCAGCGGCCCTCCCACCGAGGGTTCGGATCCCATGTGGAGACCGGTTCCCACTCACTGGCTGAGCGCGGTGCGGACGCAACACCGAGGGTTGCGATCCCGTTGCCGGTCCCCAGTACGGGCGCGACGCCGAGGGGTGCGATCCTGTTACCGGTCAGTAAAAAAGACAAAAAGGAGGAAAAAAAAAGGTATTGGCCTGTGAGTAGCTGAGATTAATGGCTGGATGTTTAGTTTGTCTGGAGATATTAAAGAGAAGAAAGTAAGCTCTTAATAAGAATTTTTTAAAAAAAATTTGAAAGCAGTATAATGTGAAAGGAACAGAAGAAAATAAATGAATGTTTATATGCAATAATTTTAATTACATAAAAATTAAAAACTTCTATATGCCAAAATATACAATAAAGAAAACTGATAGAGAGCTAACAGATCTGAAAAAGTATTTGCAGTATATAGGGTAGATGAAAGTTTACTGTTTTTAATGTATAAGAGCTTTTGCAAATTATCAGTTACAAAATATTTATGTATACATATTGTTTTTGTAAGCTGGCCGGTACAAGGAACAAATGAGTTTATATATTATTAAGAGAAAAACCAAACTTCAGAGCTGGAAATGATGTATGAGGGGTCTTCAAAAAATTAGTAGAAGGATTTGTGTTACTTTTAATTCTACTTTTCTTTTTTTTTTTTTCCTTTTTGTCTTTTTTCGTGTCCGGCAACGGATCGCAACCCTCAGTGTCGCGCCCGTACCGGACCGGGACCGGCAACGGGATCGCAACCCTCGGCGCTGCACCCGCACCTCGCTCAGCCAGTGAGCGGGAACCGGTTTGTATGTGGGATCTGAACCCTTGGCGGGAGCGCCACTACGCTCCCAAGCGGCGCACTGTAGCAGTGCGCCACCGGGCCGGCCCTTAATTCTACTTTTCTACGAACTTTTTAAAGTACCCTCGTATAAAGGACAAAAAAGCCAATTCACAGAAGAACTACAGACACTTTTCAAATGGAAGATGAGTTAACAAAATGGAAATATCCTGTGTAAGACATCTAGGGGTCATAACCCGGTCTGTGGAAATTAATCTACCTAAACTTCATGGCAGTCATATGACTCAATTTTTTTCCATATGTCTAAAGTAAAGATGTTTCTTAAGGGTCTTCGTGATCCTGTTTCCAAGGTCTCAAATCTCTTAAGCTGTATGTATTTATACTTACTTACTGCTTTATTTTTTAAAATGACTCCATTTTGCTGTATTGCCCAAAGAATATGAAAATTATCTAATTGGATGTTTATGCATGTTCCTTTCAGAAATAAGTGAAACCAGTGAATCTCTGAAAACCAAAATGTCTGAACTTCGCCTCTACTGTGACCTCCTGATGCAGCAAGTTCATACAATCCAGGAATTTGTGCACCAGGATGAGAATCATTCATCTCCCAGTGTAGAGGTATAACAAAGAGGACCCCTTGACATCTGGTTATGCTTTGTAGTATGCTGGGGAGTCCTTAGTCATCCCATAAGACGAGAGAGAAGTGTTTCACAAAGAGTTATTTTCAGCTATTCTGGGCTGTCCCTACTGTAGACTATCTGGAAATATATAGCATCTTCTAGGTTGTGTGTGTGTGTGTGTAGCCAGAGTAAAGCAAGAAGCAGCACATTTCTCCAGGGAACCATGGCCTATCTTTGCAGCAGCTATTTTGATAATTTGGAGTTGGGGTGGGGAAGCAGCATTCCAGGCTTTGTTCTCCAGGCTGATTGCATGAACTCATTGGATGACTGCTGTTCTCTTTTGGTGGTAAGGTCCCAGCTTCAACTACCGAAGAGTTGATAACTTTCATAAAATAACTTAAAAAAAATATCCTTCTCAGAACAATGATGTAGGAATCAAAATTTAGATTAGTAGGATCTTGCTATGAAATAGGCTTGTTTTTTCTGGTTAAGTAGGATCAGTGTGGAAAGGAAAGTCTTCTCAAGGCGTGGTTCCTGGTCCCCTTCTGCCTAACTTGGTAGAAGTGGGACAAGAAATCTTCCTCTCCTGTTGGGGAGGAAACTTATGTGAGGTGGGCTGTGTTTGGCTTTGGGTACCTTAAACCCTAAGGGCACTGAACTGTTTCATCACAAGCTCTTTGGAGGTAGGGGCGCTCACATTTGCTCCAGCAGCTAAATGACATTTATCAGGACCTAGGCTTATTCCATCCTTCTGCTCTGCCGTTCTTGAGGTGTTGGGTTTTTCTCTTCATGTCCCAGGCTTCAAGGTGACTGCCAGGGTCACAAAGAGGCAGAAGGCAATGGAGTAGCCAGCGTGGCGAGAGACCTCATCTTGTCCTTGAGTTTAAATCAAGAAACAAAAATTCTAGAAATTCCCCAGCAGGCGTTTCATCATCTTTTTGTCTGGCTCAGCGAAGACTAGGAAAAATGAGTATTTGACAAAGGGTCATGGAATAGCCATGACTGGCTTAGATCAGTCTGTATTCATTCCCTGGGGTTAGGGCACTTTGCTGTCCTAAACAAAATTGGGTTTTTTATTCTACCAAGAAAGAAGTGGGAGAATGGGTGTAGGTATGAATTGTATTGCTAAGTAACTCTCAGGATGTTCCACTGCTGGAACCACCTTTGGAATTCTGATAGGTAGATAGAAATTACATTTAGGTTAGGGTTCTCTAAGATAAATTTTTGCACACAATTTTAAAATGGAATTTTTGATTTAAATGCAAAACTTCTTTTTTCTTGGAATTTAATTTCATACATTGTTTACCTAAGAGAAAGATGTTTCTTATTCATGTATTGCTTTAATTTTCTAAGGTAGTATATTTTAAATAAATTCTAACATAACCTAGTAATGTGTCCATTGGGGATGTTTCATTACTTGATTGATGTTTCTTATTCATGTATTGCTTTAATTTTCTAAGGTAGTATATTTTAAATAAATTCTAACGTAACCTAGTAATGTATCCATTGGGGATGTTTCATTACTTGATTATAAAGTTGTGCATGTTTCTACTTGTGTGCAAGTCTTTTCAAGTCTTTGTGTGTAACTTTTCAGAGCATGAATGAAGCCTCTTCTCTGCTTAGTGCCACATGTAATACATTCATCACAACGCTTGAGGAATGTGTGAAGATAGCAAATGCCAAGTTTAAACCTGAGATGTTTCAACTGCCCCATCCGGATCCCTTAGTTTCTCCTGTGTCACCTTCACCTGTTCAAATGGTTAGAACTTGTTTTTTTCCTAGTGAAGTTGCATGTGGGTTTTTTTTCATTTTTATTTTTGAGGGTGGAAGCAGGCAGTTAGGGGTGGGGGGAACAGTCAACAGGTCGTTTGTACTCATATTCTGTATTGGAGCTTCTCAGCTGATGAGCTTAGCACATGTGCCAGTGTCCTGATCCCCTCCCCCTCAGAGGGGCTGTGTCCTGCCTGCCTATAAGCTGCTTTATCCATTTACCCCAGTGTTCCAGGAAGATATGAAGGCACTTCAAAAAGTCCATGGAAAGATTTGTATTATCTTTTAATTATATTTTTCCATGAACTTTTTTTTTTTTCCTTTTCGTCTTTTTTCGTGACCGGCAACGGGATCACAACCCTCGGTGTCGCAACCCTTGGTGTCGCGCACGTACCGCGACCGGCAACGGGATCGCAACCCTCGGTGTTGCGTTTTTTCGTGACCGGTAACGGGATCGCAACCCTCAGTGTCGCGCCCGTACCGCGACCGGCAACAGGATCACAACCCTCGGTGTCTCGCCCGCACCATGCTCAACCAGTGAGCGGACCGGTCTCTATATGGGATCCGAACCCTCAGCTGGAGCGCCGCCGTGCTCCCAAGCGCCGCACTCTACCGAGTGCGCCACCGGGCCGGCCCTTTTTCCATGAACTTTTTGAGGTACCTTTGTATTATAATGCAGTGTGTATGTGCTGTGACACAGAAAAGGTTGGGGAACACTCTTCTACTTAGTAAAAGCTTCATAGTGGGGTGATGTTTTACTCACATTGGGGTACCATTAAGCAAATCTTTAAAAGAGTTGTAAGGGGTTTGAAACATGTTCCAGTGGGAACAGTATTTTGTAGTCAGTATTTGGATTTAAATCCTCTGAGTAGGCAAGTTACTTAATCTCTGGTCATCGGTTTCTTCATCTGTAAAATAAAGTGTCTTCTACAAAGGGTCATTGCAAAGGCTCTAAGCTGCTTAATGTTAGGTGCTTAATGTTAGTTTCTTACCTCCTGATTATACTGAGTGACAGGTTCACTTTTGTTGGGGGTGGTTGTCTTTTCCAAGCTAACAAACTTGTTTTAGCATGCTGTAGGGAACGTGTAGGTGAGATAACGTTTGATGAGACATTAAATTTTTTTCATCAAAGTGTTTTTAGGATTCCATTTGTAGTAGGAAGAATGTCACATGGCTACTGTTTTAGCAACTACCTGAAGACTTATTTGTTAGAAGAATGGAGTCCAACTTATTTCCAGATTCTTTTACCCACTCCAGCAAATTTAGTTATGTGAGATTTAGTAAAGACTATTGCCTACATTTATTTAGAGCTTTGTTTTCTAACCATATGATGAACTAATAGTGTCCTCTGAGGCAAGTGTACCATGAAAATAAATATTATGGTCATATTAGTTTGGGAAATTTTGGTTAACTTAATAAATTGGGTTTCTCTGTCTCAATCTGATAGGGACAGCCTGATAGAACTTCTCAGTCTTTTTTATGGTGAAGTGTATTATGAATTTCTGGGAACGAGAGGTAGCGTGCAGTCATTCTGAAAATTTATTTGACAATTGAACCCTTTTTGTTTTTTTTTTAATACCATCTCATAGAACTATGGTGTTCAGCAGTACACAGTTTGACAGTGTTGCTTTTTTTTTTTTTTTGACTGGTAAGGGGATCATAACCCCTGGCTTGGTGTCGTCTGCACTACGCTCAGCCAGTGAGCATACTGGCCATCCCTATATAGGATCCGAACCCGCGGCCTCGGCACTATCAGTGCTGCACTCTCTCGAGTGAGCCATGGGGCTGGCCCAACAGTGTTGCTTTTTAGAACAATTATAGATATGCTGTAAACTGTTAAATAAAATGTACAGTGAACAAAAAACCCATCTTGTGAAATAGACGTATCACAGTGCTATATGTTCCTGAGGTTTATATACAAAGGGTATACTGATATGCTGTAAACTGTTAAATAAAATGTACAGTGAACAAAAAACCCATCTTGTGAAATAGATGTATCACAGTGCTATATGTTCCTGAGGTTTATATACAAAGGGTATACTTTTTTTTTTAAAGATGTGCTTTCTCAAGTCAAATTCAATAAAAAATACCTCGAAGCTGCCTTGTTTTTACATTGAACTTCTCATGAAATGCCTTCTGTTACAAATGCTCTGTAGTCCAGAGAAGTCATGTGTGTATTTTTTGTATGAGAAACTATAACTGTTTCTTAAACCAAAGCCTTTTATCAGTAGAAAAATTATAGGAAATCCGATAAGTTAATCTAGGAGTTAATAGATTAGAGGTTGCTTATTTTTTCCTAGCTATGCCATTTTACTTGATTCATAAGGCAAGAATTGTGGCTTCTAGTAATTAGTTCTGAAGACGCATAGCCTGGAAAGTAAGGTAAAACAGTCTTTGTGGGAAAAAATTTTTTAATAACATGAGCTAATTATATGGAAAACTTATTTTTAATATAAAAATTTATTTTTTATATAAAATAGAAAGCTACAATATTTGAGAATTCCAAAACTTTAATCTTTATAACCATTTTATGTAGTTAATCTCATCGAACCCATTTGAGAATAAACTTGCATTTACCTTTTTTTTCAAATCATCATGAAAGTTAAGACAATTGTCATTTTTGACAATTGAATGATTATTGTAGTGGGTAGTCATTGGGTGAATAATCCTAAAGGAAGTAATTTCTGTTAAAGGAGAATTTAATGTCCACTTGCATCTTAATGTCAGTCTTACTAGCTCTTCCTATACTACAAATTGGGTGGGTCATGTCTGTTATTATTTCCACTGGGATTTATCAGAGTTGCTAGTGGCTCATGTTCTAAATATAGAAGGCATTTACATAACATAGTGTTAGACCTGGGCTTATAAGACTCTTGGACCCATGTATATAAAAGCAATCATCTTAAATCTTTAGTATAAATGTTGCTTTTCTGCTACCTTGTTAAACTTTGAAATAATCTTTTACTTGGCTGTCTACCTCTATTTCTTGATGGAGTAGTTGGATCTTCTAAATTATGTTTAGTAGTTGTCGTATTTAATAAATATTTAATAAATATGACAAATTCTAAACATCTGCTTAATCAGATATTTATTTTTTAAGGATGTGTTTTAGAAACCTATTTGAGGCTTAGCGTTCTTCTTCTGAGTTCTTCAAAGACTTGAATTATTAATGCCATCAACTATGAAAATCACACTTTAGAACATCTGTGTATCAGCTACCTGAATAATGAATGGTAAAGAGAAGCTTTACTACCAGACTCTATTCCTCCCCTTTAAAAAAAAGGGAGAGATTTATTAGAATATTTTCTGCTTGCTAGATATTCTTTTTTTATCACAAAAGGTGTGACTTTTTGGATTTGTTATGCATTCACTGTTTTTTATGTGTATATGTATAATTTGGTTTTTAGCATTGAGAAAAGAATCCAGCATGTTTTTGGTATGCTTTTGGTACTTGTTAAGAAAGATTCCAATCAATGGTTATTAGGGAGAAAGCTTGACATTGTGTTAACTGTTGCTTGAATCTATGAAAGGTAAATATCTTTCCAGGAATCTTTTTCTGTGAGTAAATTTATGTTAATTATGATAATAGTAATAATAATAAATTACTTGACATGAATTATGTTAATTTTTTAAAAATTTCTAGATGAAGCGTTCTGTCAGCCACCCCGGTTCTTGCAGTTCAGAGAGGTAAAATGCCTTTTCTTTTTATCAAGTTCACTCAAAATTATACCTACTTAGGGAAATTCGTTGGGACTTTAACAAGCGGTGTGGAATGTAAACGCTGTGTGGGTAAGGTCTGGTTCTGATTTGCTCAGCATTATATGAGGGGTCTTCAAAAAGTTCGTAGGGAAGATTTGTGTTACCTTTTAATTCTGTTTTTCCACAAACTTTTTGAAGTTCCCCTGCATTTGTTGGTAGATATCTCTTAATGTTTAGTGTAAGGGCCTGGCACCCAGAGTAGGTCGTCAGTAAAGAAAAAATGAGTGAATAAATTAACCATCAAGGTAAGCACTCTGCCAGCTGTTCTACCTTTTTAGATGTTTGAAATATATTAAGTGATGGTTAAATACAAATTAATTTTTGATGTATCAAAGCTCCACAGCTGACGCTCATTTTACCTCAGCTTTTTATAGCATCATATATTCATGTTGAACTGTTGCTTTATTAAGAAAGATCTTGCTTTTGAAAGGAGAGAAAACCACTTGATATTTTAAAGTATATATTCATATATACACATTCAAAAAATTTACCTTCTAGATAGATCCAGCCAATATCCTAGGTTGTTAAAGTGTTCTTCATTTTGTTAGGCAATATTCTTTAATTTGCTATGGTTGTTTTATTTGGTTCTTTGGTGAGTGATGAAATTATAGTGACATTAGTATTTATTTCTATATGTTAAGAATGTTAAGTGCTGAGCCCTTATTATTGTTTTGCCATGTTTTGTTTTTTTTCCTCTGAAGATTATGTAATCTTTGAACCCATCAGGTACTCAGAGGAGTCTAGCAAGGTTTATAGCCAGTCCTGTCAGACAATGAAGAGTTCAACCAAGTAAATTTTCCAGAAAAATGGAAACTTAACCTTTGATAAATTTTTATTTTTATAAAAATTTTTCTAATCTTTTTTATCCTTATACTTAACGAAATAAGATACATTAAAAATTTTAAAAATTTACATTTTTCCTGATGATTCAAGGTCGACATTAAGTTTAGTGACATCAGGCTGTTATAAAATAATAGCTGAGGTATGGTTAGGTAGTGGTGATTTGCTTCTATGCTTAATTTTTTAGACTGATTTTTTAAAAAGTTTTTCTAGCCTCCTTCTGCAGTATTTATCTTTTCTTGCTGTTGTCAATGAGTCTACCTCTAGCGTGCTCCCTAAATTCTTGCATATCCCTTCTAGTCTGCTAGTTTTGATCAAATACGGATTGTCTTTAGATACATGAAATTGTGAAATCCGTAACTTCTATTCAAACATTTGTAAAGCATCTGATATATCTACTGTCTCGCTGGACCCTCCCCTATAGAAGAAGTCACGTCATTTCCATTGTACCCTCTTTCCATTTAGTTTAGCTCAGAAGCCGTATTCTTCAGGTTACTGCTTGATTCCAAATGGGTTGACTTGCTTGCGATTTGACCTCTGAATGAATATAATATTGCTAACATAGGACATTGGGCATAAAAATAGTTCCTCTTTTACTTAAAGAGAAGACATTTAAAATTCCAATCAAATTGAAGGTGCTTTCATTTGTTTAAGACCTTACAATTTAATGCTTTTTATTTAATTTGCAGGAGTAGCCATTCTACAAAAGAACCAGTGTCTACACTTCACCGACTCTCCCAGCGACGCCGAAGAACCTACTCGGATACAGACTCTTATAATGAGATTCCGCTTGAAGACCCAGATAGTAAGTTAGATGGGTTCTCTCTCCTTTTTTGGCCTATTCAGCAAAGTTGTTGTGGGGCTCTGTAATTGGTAAATTTTGAAAATGTGTATAAATGTGCAACTACCTTGGAACAGCAGTATGCCAATGTGTTTGTCTGTGTTTACTTGGAGTTGTGTGATAGTTCTGTGTGTTGCATTTCACATGGAAAGGTGGCAACTTTCAGTGTGAGGAACCTTGTCAGCTTTGCTCAGAAAGTCTTATAATGAAAAGAGGGAGACATGAATTTAGTTTTAGTTCTGTTACCAATTGTGTGATCTTGGATAAGTGTGTAATCTATTTTGGGTCTTGGTTTCTTTACCTAGAAACAAGGAAAATACTAACAGCATTAAAACAATCAAGCTGAAAAAGTAATAGTTAATTAAGAAAGACTAAATTCAATTCATCAGATATTATTGACTGCCCATGTCAGCCATGGTTCTAGCAAGGAAACAAAAACCTGTGCTTCTTATAGTTTCATTATCTCATGAACTGAAGTTTCTTATTCCTGTCAGTAGTTAAAAAGTTAGGTTTTTCTCCATTAAACAAACAAAAAATTAGCAGGAAGTGAAAGAAATTTCATGTCCTTGCATAGGAAATTTAAAATAGTCTTTTACCAGAGGACTGAAGTTAATATTGATGGGATATGTAACCTTTTAATCAATTTCTTAATAGGACCTGTTCACTGTTCAAGAAATACACTTAATGGAGATTTAGCATCAGCAACCATTCCTGAAGAAAGCAGACTTACGGCCAAAAAAAAATCTGAATTGGAAGATCCTCTTCCATCCTTTTCTTCCTGAGGAAACCGAAGTGTCCGACTTCCTCTGAGTATTGCTATGCAAAAGCTGCTGTAATTAAACTGTTGTTATAGGGGGTAGTTTTTCCCTTTACTTAAGATTTCTCTGCACTTTATAGAATATTGTAAAACAAACAAAATACAGCCCACATACTTTTGAAGTGTATTTTATCTTTATATAGTTTATTTGCAAGAGTATTTTCCTAATAACTTCACAGTATGAATGTGCATCCTTTTTTTTTTTTTTTTTTTTTTTAAAGAAATGGTGTAACATTTTGACATCCGTAAGGACAAATGTAGATATTTTTCTAAAAAACTGTGAGGGACTGACAGCTTGGTCAGTGTGTATTGTAGTTTATAAACATGAAATCTTCTAAGGTTTCAGTTTGACAGAAGTGTGACATATGTAACATGTGCCATGGACCAAATGGTCACTTTACCCCAGCTAAAAATGAGTTACGATAGCAGCTTGATGGTGATTGTATTGTATTCCTTTAAGCAAAAAGGAAACGCTTAATATTCTAAGTATCTTTAGCCCAAATATCATGATATATTGAGCATTTTCCAACAACCAGACTGTGTTGTCCTTCACATGTGAAGTTGACACTACTGATTTGTCAATACCAAACGTTGGGTTAAAGTATTTAATTATTATTTATTTATTTTTTTGTTGCATCAAAAGATAATCGCATCCTCACTTTTGTGACCTACCAAATTTAAGATGTGTACCATTGTTATTTACATTGTTCTAGAAAAGAGGTTAATATTATAGTGACCTTGCTCACTTACACGAAGAAATAAATGACTTTCAATGGAAGAGGATTTTAGTGATTTTTTTTTCTGAAATAGACATTAAGCTGCTGTTGTAAGGTATTGTTTGCAGCTCTTTAGAATATCTAGAGACTTTTTAATTTATGAATATTTATACAAAAAAGGAATTCTGTCAAGGTGATTGCTCTACATCACTTGACAATGTTATTATTTAATTCAAGAACAAATAGCAATTATTGGTAGTGTCTGTTCATACCTATTGTCAATGTTTGCCTTGTAATTTGTTTTTTTGAACTCACTTTGGGGTGACAGTTTTGCCCAAGGTTTTGGATAAGGAGCACTTTAAAACAAACGGGTTTGATGTTTTTAAGTATTTAATCATATGTTTAATAAATATGTGGTTTTTGCATCCAAACTCATCATATAATACATTGTATTTTTTACACTCATTGATATTCTGTGTAATCTTTATTAAGTGCTGATAGTATTTTTAATGATTTGATTTTGTTTGTATATTTGGCCTGCTGGTAAATATACAGATGAAGCACACTTGTAGTTTTTGTTGCCTATAAAGTTAGAATAGTGCGGCCTATTTCACTTTAAATTTCTCCTGTAAGTTTATGTGGGAATTTTTTTTTTAAGAGTTAATATTTGGTATTTTTCTAAAATAAATCTGTAATTATAGTCTTTCTTAAGTTTGAAATGGACATAAAAAATCTATAAATGATCTATATACATTAATATGTATTTGGATAAACTGTATGCTACATTAAGTGTGATTTTAAATAGCACACAGGTCATTAGACTACTCTGTATTCAGTGGAATCTTTTTCTTCTCCAAATAAGTTGTGTTTCATATGTTTAATTTGAAAAAAAAAAGTTTGGTAGTTTGATAGTGTAAGTTTTGATGTTGAGCAGGTAATCAGGTTTTTTACTTTTTCTTTTTTGTAGTCAGAACCTTCACAATGGTAAGACCGTGAAGGTCAAGGTGCTACTGATATGGAGTTTTTCTGGTAGCTACTTTTTTTTTGAAGTAAGAGGTTTGTAATGAAAACACTATAACAAACTTCTGAACTCATAGAAAATAATCAAGTCCATTTTTTATTGCTTTACCCAAATAGGTAAGTTCATGAACAGTTTTCTGTAAATATTTTTTAAATAAAATGCAATCATTTCTGGTTTGTACCATATTTTTCCCCATTGAAACAGGTGCTTGAACAGGTTTGCTGTATTCCTAAGTATGGCTTTTTTTGTGACTTGGAGCCACATTTTTTCCCTTGGGAACCAAACACATTTGTGAAATCATTTTTTCTTGAGGGAGTATAAATATTTCTTGAATTATATCTAGGCTTTGATCAGTGAATTAGTAGCATGAAACAACCTGTAAAGTTTAAGGGAACATTGCATTTTGTGGAGCCCTATATATTTTCAAGTGTGCCTGACTTTTCTGAATTTTTTTAAAAAGATGAACCAAATAAGAACAAGTCTGTAAGAATTTTAGCTTGTCAGATTTTTCTGTAATTTGTAGTTTTCGGTTGTCCCTTTTTTGCTTTGCCTAGACCATGAGGTGATTGAGAAATCTGGAGATTCTCTTGGCATATCAGTGACCTTCTAAGCAAAACCAGTACTTTCTTTGCATTTTAGGTGCCTGGTCCCTGTTCTGTGGGATTGCAAGACTCCATGATCAAAGGGACCTTGATGATAATTTTTTTAAATGAACTAAATTTGAATTTTTTACATTACATTGGATTATTGTGTTATCTTCAATCAGGACAAGTCCAGAAATGGATGCTTTGCTTAAATTCCAGGGAAAGATAATTTATCTTCATTTCCACGAATGCCCTGGAACCGTTGACCCTGAATTGTGGTTTTTCACTATGCATTATCACATTTAGAAATTTCGAAATCATCACAAGATCTCAGGAAATATATCCTTGTAATATGTTAATACTAGACTGCTGTTACTAATTCTATATACATTATGATATCATTAATTTGGACTCTGCTAATGCTTCTTTTATTTAATGAGGTGCCTCTAGGTCTATCTTTTGAGCCTTGCTATTGCTACTTGGTGCAGAAGGAGTATCCTGGCCTGAAAGAAAGCCAGATTAGGCTGCAATAGCTCTTTCAAGGAGGTCTCTCTCTTAATATCCTTGGTGGGTAAGTAAATGGTAGATAGCTGGTAGATAGGACTTCTTTTATCTTTGTAATTCCCCAATTCTCTCTTTGAATTCATGCTAAACTTGTAAATTTAAATTCTTATCTTTTTTACAATTTAGCTTTCTTTTTATTAAAGCAATTCGTGCACATATTAAACTTTCCTAAGAAAAGGTACATGGGAGGTAAAGATTTTGAGGCTTTACAGGTCTGAAAATGTCAGTACTCTTGTTCGATTGGTAGTTTGGAGTCTGCTGAAAGTAGTTTTCCCTTAGAATTTTAAAGGCAGTGCTCCATTGTCATGTAGCATTCAGTATTTCTCTGAAAATTCTAATATCGTTGCTTGACATGGAACATGTTTTTACACTCTGGAATCTTTTAGGAGCTTCTCTTTGCCCCTGACATTTCATAATAATATGGGGGTCTTCATTCTTTTTGATTGGTACTTGGTTTGATAGAGTCTTTCAATTTGTAGACTTATCTGCTTCAATTCTGGGAATTTTTTTGTGTTGTCTTTTTGATAATTTTCTCTCCTCCATTTTCTTTGTCTTTTATTTCTTGAATTCCTGTTATTTGAATGTTGGAGCTCCCAGATTGATTTCCTAATTCAAAAAATCTTTTCTCTCCAGTTGCTTTTGAAGTTGTATTATATTTGTTCTTTTTGTTATCCTCCAGCTCATCTGTTGAATTTTCTTTACCTGTATATATTTCAATTTCTAAGAAATCTTTTTCTCTGTTCCTTTTTCATAAAACCCTGTTTTTATTTTATAGATTCAATGTCTCCTCTTATCTCCCCAAGGAAAAAATTATGGGTTTTTCTCATGTTTTTCCTGTTTCTTGCAATGTTTCTATTTTTTCCATGTTTATTTTTTCTGTTTGTTTTGGACTCTGTCTCATTCTGAAGCCTTTCTTAGAAAGTTGGAGAGATCATATTCATATTAGTCATGTACACTAAAAAGTTAATTTCCTAGCTCTTTATATGTGGGCTGGGTTTATCATTTGTCTCAAGGGCCATCAGGGAGCTGGCTTTTTTTGATGGTGTCCCCTAAATTTCAGTGGAGGTCTTTTCTTTGGGGCCATTCAGTTTCTCTACAAAATTGGGTTCTGGCAGTAAGGTAGGAGAAGAGGGCTAAGGATCCCACAGTTTGTATGATGGCTTTTACTTAATCCCTCCATTTTCAGCCTCCCTCATGCTCCACCCACCCCACCCAAATTCTCCTCCATGGTTGGTGACCCTCAGGTTCAGTTTCTCCTGTAGATGGATGTGGGGGTGGGGGTGGATCTGGGATTCGGTTGTTCTTTGTATAGACTTCTAATCCTAATTAACTAATTTTTCAGTCCTGGTTTTTATCTTTTTAAACTTTGTTGAAATCTCATGGCTTTATAGTCTGTTCTCTTTGTGGATTAATACCCTTTATACTCCTTTAATGTCTTTTTGGTGGGATTTTGGAGGTAGAGGAAATAGTCATGTGGTCAGTCCACCATGTTTAACTGGAAATCTAGATTTAAATTCAAATGGTGTGTAAAAAATAAAATTTCTTTAGTATTATTCCATAATTCATTCTTTTCACTCTAGTGATTTTTAATTCATATGGTTTTACTGTACGACCTACCTCTTAGGGATGTGAGGCTTAGAAGAATCAATTCATGAAAAGCACTTAGAATAGTGCCTGGCACATAGTATGTATTAAATGTGTTAGGTATTGTTAATATTGTTGTTACCATTATAACTGTTACTGCTATCACTTTAAATTCAGTGACCCTTTTAGACTTGAATGAAGGTGTTTTACCATAGGAAGAAATATTTATATATGGGAAAATCTAGTGTTTGATAATATTGACCCTTTTACATGAAATGTTCAGATGTTAAATGTTGTCTTTATAAGAAACATTAAAGCCTTAAGAAATCCAATCAGTAGTAGTTACTTTAAAAGTTTTTAAAAAGTATAACAATTTTAATATGCTTTTAAGCCTTATTGGTATTGTTTTGTTTTTATTATCTAAATATGAAGTATAGAGAAAAAAATTATGGAGATGTTTACTATGCCTTACCTACAGCCAGAAGATGTAATACTCTGAATATATAAAGTACAGAAAGAGAGGAATAGTAGATTCTAATCACTGCATCCATAAGCTTCTTGTGAATACTTGTACACCTTTTAGACAATGTTGTGGACTTATATAAGGCAAAATGTCCGCATTTATTCAATAGGTAAAATTCTAATTTAACTATTTTATAATCAAAATGTTTTTGAGGAAGTTTTATTTAAATACTGTATTCATTTTTTATTGTTCTGCTTCAGATTGGTTTTTATATGTTAATGTTTCAAAACAATTAAGATAATTGTGTTCTAGGTGGAAGCTACTCTGAGCCTAAATTTTTAAATTCTTTCAGATATTAAGTATCTTCTTCGTGTCTGGATAAGAGGGGTGTGATAACACAATTCTCATTTTTAGAGGGGAAGTGGGAGTAGGTGATGGCACTGCTTTTTTTATGTTTAGTGAGCTGTGTACTTTGGGGAAGGGGACTTTTATTTGTAAGCGCATTAGCACTCTCACTCACTGAAGTAGAGTCCGTAGTTGTGGGAAATGGCTGTAATACCAGTACCGCTAGAGAGGAGGAATTTTTCTACAAAAGGAATGGCCAGTTGCTTAGTGTGAATAAACCTCTTTTCAAATTATCAGGATAACTTTGGTAGTACAGATGAAACAGGTGGACATAGCTAAAGTAAAATAATGCCTGCTATTAGGTTGATGCTGGCATTTTCCCCTCTCCCTAAATGTGACTATTACTGTCTTTATTGCGTCCCCTAACTATCTGCTTTGATATCTTATCCCCTGAGCTTCAATGTCTACATCTTTGGAGTCCTTATGCTGCCTCTTCTCCAAATGCAGTAACTAATCTAGTATATTTTCTTTCTTTTTTTAAAAAATTGAAACGTATCGATTATAAATATTTGTGGGGTACAGAGTTGGATATCAATACATGTCTACAATGTAGTTTGATCAAACAAGGGTAATTAACATATAGTATATTTTCGTAGATGGAATTTGCCCTTTCTGTTCCATAATATTCTCCCCTTGCCCCCCCAAAAAGACTTTTTTTGGTCTCTTTGATAATAATATATTTTCGAACATTTACTATGGGCCAGGCACTTTACCTCATTTTAGCCTCATAACAAAGATGTTAAAGTGCAAGAATATAAGAGCAATCAGGATGCACAGAACATTAACTCATATGTGATTGATTAGAATGATATTTTATTATATCCTGAAATACTAAGTGTTTAAA